GTATCAAATATCCTTTGCCCTTGGGTTTTTACGTCCAAGGTGCATTATCTTGCACTTATCCACATTAAATGTCAGTTGCCACAGTTCTGACCATTTTTCTAATTTTTCTAAATCATTTTCCATTTGGCTTATCAATCCTGGAAAATCAACCCTGCTGCAAATTTTAGTATCATCATCAAAAAGACATACCTTGCCATCAAGACCTTCTGCAATATCACTAATAAAAATATTAAAGAGAATGGGTCCAAGTACAGATCCCTGAGGTACCCCACTGGTAACTAGACCTTGCTTCGAATATACTCTGTTGACCACAACCCTCTGTTGCCTGTCATTTAGCCACTGCCTAACCCATTCAACAATATTGGAATCCAGACTTAAAGATTGCAGTTTATTTATGAGCCTTCTATGTGGAACAGTGTCAAAAGCCTTACTGAAATCTAGGTAAGCAATGTCTACTACACCACCCCAGTCTATTATTTTAGTTACCCAATCAAAAAAATCAATTAGATTAGTTTGACATGATCTCCCTGAAGTAAACCCATGTTGTCTCTGATCTTGAAATCCATGTGATTTTAGATGTTCAACAATCCTATCCTTTAACATGGTTTCCATCACTTTCCCCACTACTGAAGTAAGGCTTACTGGCCTATAGTTGCCCGACTTCTCCCTACTACCTTTCTTGTGAATGGATACAACATTCGCTAATTTCCAATCTTCTGGGACTACTCCTGTTAACAATGATTGGTTAAATAAATCCGTTAATGGTTTTGCTAGTACACCACTAAGTTCTTTTAATAACTTTGGGTGTATTAAATCAGGCCCCATCGACTTATTTGCAAATACATACAATATAGTTGGTTGATCACACTTCTGAATATGTCTGAAAGAAATATGTACAAAACACAATATAGTGTAATAAAGTCTATGCTGGTGAATAGTAGAGAATTTGAGTCGGGTACTCACAAGCCTAGAGCCAAATATCATATGGCTCTCATGGATGTCGCCTTGGGACTATTTCAAGGATGTCCCCCTCCTGTTACCACATGGCTGGATAGATGTTCCAGTTGAACTTGAATAAGCTCCAAAAATCCAATGTGTGATGGTTAAAAAATGTTATTTATTACTCCACAAAATGTATTAAAAATATAATAAACCAGTATTAAAATATCATAAAAATAAATAAACAGAAATCTATAGCCTCCAGGGGCTTTTTCAATCGGTATGTTGTTCCTTTTACAGTTCAGCGTCCTTATACTTGGGTTTGCCGGTTCACTTCCGGGTTCCGGCTAATTCTAATTTGAAACGCATCGTGCGTTACAAATTACTTCCGGGTTCCGGTGATCTTGTATTTGGAACGCAACGTGCGTTCCACATCTTCACAGCGCTGTATTTCATCCTGGGCTTATTAAATATAGAATTCTTAAATATTTCTTTAATAGATTAGATGAATAGTCTATATAGAGAAAAAAAAAAACATTAGAATCACCACCTTACATTTATATATTTATGCATGTCACTATAAAGAATACTAATTCGATTAATAGAAGGAAGTTATTCGTTAATTATATATATGTATAGAAACCACTAATTAACTAAATAGAATTAGAGTATGAAAATTCATGTATTGATTCATATGATGGAATATTTGTATAATGGGCTATGGAAGTTAATAATGATATATTTGCATGTTTGTAATTTGCAATGAGCTCTACAGGTCTTGACAGATTCGCAGTGGAACGCACAACTACTTTAGTGTGCATTCCAGTGACGTCAGTTGAGGTATAGGAATCCCAGGATGAAATACAGCACTGTGAAGATGTGGAACGCACGTTGCACTCCAAATACAAGATCGCCGGAACCCGGAAGTAATTTGGAACGCACAATGCGTTCCAAATTAGAATTAGCTGGAACTCGGAAGTGAACTGGCAAACCCAAGTATAAGGACGCTGAACTGTAAAAGGAACAACATACCGATTGAAAAAGCCCCTGGAGGGGTGAAACACGTTTCAGACTTTTTAAAGGCCAATTGGCAGGACTTATTTCTATAGCACTACAGCTATAGATTTCTGTTTTAGTTTTATGATATCTTAATACTGTTTTTTTAATTATATTTTTAATACATTTTGTGGAGTAATAAATAAAAAATTTTAACCATCACACATTGGATTTTTTGAGCTTATTCAAGTTAAACTGGAACAGCTATCCAGCCATGTGGTAACAGGAGGGGGACATCCTTGAAATAGTCCCAAGGCGACATCCATGAGAGCCATATATTTGGCTCTAGGCTTGTGAGTACCTGACTCAAATTCTCTACTATTCACCAGCGTAGACTTTATTACACTATATTGTGTTTTGTACATATTTCTTTCAGACATATTCAGAAGTGTGATCAACCAACTATATTGTATGTATTTGCCTGTATTTCTTTGAGTGGTGTGAGGGGTTCCCACTCAGGTGGTTTGTGGCATTCTTGCTACCACACTCAGTCCCACTGTTCTGTTGTATATATCTATATTTTCTATCCCATAGACTTATTTGTTTTTACTTTTGACAGTTGAAATAGAACCTTTTCCTTTGTAAACTCACAAATCTAAATACCCAATTAATTCCTAAGTCGCCTCCAATCATTACTTCTCAAATTTAGCTGGAGAGGGAAACACCCTAGTGTCCCATTAGACTTACTATCGAAACAGGTTGGGTGCGGGGGAAAACACATAAAATTCTCATAACAGTTACATCCCATGATAGCCCTGATCTGGGTGAATAACATATCCAAAAATCACTAAGATCATGTAGAATATTGCATATTCTATGTTTCTATTGATTATATATGGGTGTGTGGATTGACATAAGTAACAGATGGTATAAGTCACAAGGCTTTCTTTGTCCGAGAGCTCTGGAATGTGGATTTGGGAGTCTTGTTCTTATATGGCAAGAGTTATGCTCTGATGTCAGTATGGGCACTTCTATAC